ATAATAATGATATTAATAATGATAATAATAATAATGATAACAATAATAATAACAATACTAATGATAATGAAATAACAACAACAACAATGATAAGGATAAAAAATAATAGTAATTACAATAAAACAATGATAATTATAATAATAATGATTACAGTAATTGTAACAATAACGATAACAATAAGTATAGGTTTAATGAAAATGATAATGATAATGAAAACAATGATAATGATGATTTTGATAACGATAATGGTAATGATAACTTATAACAATAATAGATAATAATGATGATAGAAATAGTAATAGTAATAATAATAATAATAATAATAATAATAATAATAATAATAAAAACAATAATGATAATGATAATGATAATGATAATGATAATGATAATGATAATAATAATAATAATAATAATAGTAATAATAATAATAATAATAATAATAATAATAATAATAATGATAATAATAATAATGATAATAATAATAATAATAATAATAATAATAATAATAATAATAATAATAATAATATCAATAATAATAATAAAATAAATAATAATATAAACTCCTATTATACGATAATTAATCTGGCAATAAGAGTGATAATAGTGGAAATGATGATGAAAAGGTAATTATTGAGATACTGATGATGATATCATAATTTTGACATTGTAAATAATAAATCTTCGATATCTATTTGTAATTCAAATAATCACATTACCTTTTTTATTGCCCCCGTCCTGGGATTTTTGATATCTAAAGAAAGAAAGAAAGAAAGAAAAAACATGCAAAAATTCAAAATTCTGTCAGCAAAAAACAAGAAGACGAAGAAAAAAGCAAAGAAAAATAGAAGTATTAATTCAGACATTTGGACTCCGTTTGTTGTCAGGTTTCGAGACCGAAACGCAAGCCATGAGCGTTAAGCGAGGCGCGTCGAAGGCTTAATTTCTCTTGGTCTCTTTTGAAATTGTGACTGTTATTTATCATTTATTTGTACTGTTTCTATCATGTTAGAGATTTGGTTTGTTATGTTTATTGTTATTAGTATTATCATATCTCTTGTGGCACTGTTAGTGGTATCATGTATTTTATCACCTCATTTTCTTGTCATAATTAATTTCTTTATCATATAATTGCCCTTATTGATGGACTCATTATCATAGTTGCTGTCATTTGTATTGGTATCATCGTAAACTGACTAGTTAATTAATTATTTTCATCATAATCAATACCATTACCATAACAATGACGATGTAAGTCATTATTGTGTTTACTTCCTGAATTAGAATTGTCATTGTTATTGGTATCATGGTATCATATACATCGATAACCTCGTGTTTATCTATTTAATCTCATTTTTATCTGGTTTCACTTTGTTATTTTTATAGAGCAGCTGACTTACAGTTGACTCACGTGTGTAGTTATTTCAGTTTTTAAAAAGTTTGCAAGTTAAATAGTTTATGTTTTCACTGTAAAATAACATTTGAATAAGAACAAGGAAAACTAACATTTTGAACAAGAACAAGGACTCAAAATTAATGTAAAAGATTCTCCTCGCTGACATAATAAGTTTATTTCCTGCCCAGGCGCCTTCGGACTGAATTGAGCACAAACTCGTCTTGGCGGCGGCGGCGCAGTCGCCGGGGCCGGTCCGTCCTCGCTCACCCGGGACGCCGCGCCCGGTGTCAGCCGAAGCTCGGGCTGTTCCTTTTCTTTCGCTTGCTCGGCTGACGGCTGCCGGTATTGTGGCGTCTTGTTCATTTCGGATTTATTCTGTATTGATCTGTGCTTTTTAGTAATGGTAGGGTTGTTTTTTTTCTGATTTAGTAGTATTTTTTTATATCTTTATTTGGGTATTCGTATGGTATTATCATTATTTTTCATTTTATTATTTTTAAAAATCAGTGTCCGGTGAAAAGATTTATACTGTTTCGTTTTATGGTTTCGATTGCGATTTTTATGTACTTTACTGTTTAGTACTCATCACGAAATTTTACTATTTTTAATCTTAACATGTTCTTATGAATTCTATTTCTCTATATTCATTATCAGTTTTTTGTTCATTTAATCTGTTTAAAGGTTCATTATTTTTACCTAAAGGTTCTGCATTTATTCTAGCAAGTGAGGGTCACAAAAACAAAGAGGTACAAACAAAGTCTTTATTTCCTGCTGGCAAGAATCTAACAAGACAGGAATTAAACATGTGAGATGAAAATGAAGCAAAAGAGAAAGAAACTACATTCTGGTTTTTAAATGGAAGAAAATAAATAGATAAATTTAGATAAAACTCAAAAATGAATAAAATCAATAAAACTGAGGGTCGAATCAATGATAATATGTATATATATATATATATATATATATATATATATATATATATATATATATATATATATATATATACATACATATATATATATATATATATATATATATATATATATATATATATATATATATATATTCATATATATATATATATATATATATATATATATATATATATATATATATATATACACACACAAACACACGCACACTCACATGCATGTATGTGCATATACATTCCATAATTTAAACCAGAACATACGACATAAATACAAAAAAGAGGTATTATCACCACAAGGAAAGGATAGAGACAGAGAGATAGAAGACTGAGCAAAAAGGTTCCAAGAACAGACTAAAAGGAGGAGGAAAATCAGGAAGATGGTGATGATGAGGATGAGGAGGAAAGGAGGGAGAAAGGGAGGAGGAAGAGGAGGAGGAAGAGGAGGAGGAGGAGGAGGAAGAGGAGGAGGAGGAAGAGGAGGAGGAGGAAGAGGAGGAGGAGGAAGAGGAGGAGGAGGAAGAGGAGGAGGAGGAGGAGGAGGAGGAGGAGGAGGAGGAGGAGGAGGAGGAGGAAGAGGAGGAAGAGGAGGAAGAGGAGGAGGAGGAGGAGGAGGAGGAGGAGGAGGAGGAGGAGGAGGAGGAGGAGGAGGGGGGGGGAGGGGGAGGAAGAGGAGGAGGAGGAGGAGAAAAAAGAGGAAGAAGGAGGAGAAGGAGGAGAGTGAAGAGGAGGAGGAAATGAGGAAGAGAAAGAGGGAATAGGAGGAAGAAGAGGAGGAAGAGGGGGAGAGTCCAAGATTCGGGACGCAGCCCACAGGATATTTTTGATTGAGGGAGAAATAAGTGAGATCGGAGGGAGGGCGAGGCCGGGGTGGGGGAGGCGGTGGTGTGGTCCCATCAGGGGGGGGCGGGCTGATCGCTGGGTCATCAGTCGTCGGTTGATTCAGTGAAGAGAATAAATAAAGCTGCGTTTGAGGATCTGGCCCGCCCGCCCGGACGGCCACACGCCCACGTCCTCCGCCCTCGGGACATCGCTGGCCGACCGACCGTAGACACACTACTTTTGATTTTCTGTCACTCCCCATCGGGGAAAAATTATTATTAATATGAGGCGTCAACTCTTACACATCTAGGAAACATATTTACGTAGTCTTTGGCATATCATCTACAAGGCATTAGAGAACATCGTTTCATCACAATAAAAATTATCTGTGACTTGACAGCTTTTCCTCAGCTCGGCACAGGAGGCTGCTGGCGGCTTCTTCCTGACGCGGTCCACGGGCGTCGACGTCGTTCTGGCGGATCGGGCACAGCGGCCGCTCCCGACTGCTGACTCCAACCCACTGCACTGCCTTCCTTCAGCACCACTTCCTCCTGTGGCCTCGAGAGGAGCTCCCACCGGCCCGCCCGTCGAGGCCGCCGGCAGGACGGCGGGCCGGGGCTGCGGCTCCCCCTCGCGCCGGGCGCTGTCTTGCCACGCCCTTCGCCTTCCCATCACCGGGAGCTGGAACGTTACCGGGTTGGCTCGTCGCCCTCGCGGGGCGGCATCACAAAAATCAAATATTGCACATTTATATATATATATCTAAACAATGGAGTTGGTTACGTCTGACTATACAAAATACTAATATCCAATTTGAATCACTGAAGACAGTCGGGGCTGTTGTACAATGATGCTTGACAGGTTTTGATCAAATGCTGAATTGTTTCTCTATTTTACTTATTCAGTGGATGTTGCTTTCCAAACATGTTGTTTTCTTTTTTTTTACCAAGACTACTGAAGCCACGGTCCTCACAGCCGCCAATCAACTCACAATTTAGAATTAGAATTGGTGACGTAACATACCGTCGTCACTACGAAAAAGTATATTTTTAAACATATTTCTTTTACGAGTTGCACGGCAAGTAGTGAGCACCGTAGCCAGATAAAGGAGGCTGGGCGCGCTAGGTATTACAAGGTTACCTAATTGGCAGGAAGGACAACGTCTCATCCTCAGTAGAACACGAAGTCGAAAAAAGAAGAAGACATAGAAAAAAGAAGAGATACTCGTTGACCTCGGCTTCACTTTCCAAACATTAATTAAAGAAAGAAAGAAAATGCAGACTATCGGAGCTGGAGTCATCCCTCCTGCCAAACGGCGTCGCAACCTTCCTTAGACGCCGTTTTTCTTACATGTTCTCATTCTTGTGTAATTCCACATGTTTGAGTCCAGCGCATCAATACAACCTTTGAAACATGCGTAATAGAAAACAGCGGCGGCCCAACCTGTTATATGATCACAGTTTATAGTAATACTCATTCTGTTCTAGATGTAGATGAAATGGGTGATCCCCTACGGGTTTACTGCCGGTTTATAAACTATATGACTGTATGGAACGCCTCTGACAACTAAGTGAGTTCGAAAAAAGTATCAAGATCACTATCACCGAAATTTTGTCATAGCTGTAAGCGGCGTTTGTTTTTTTGTATTTTTTAAAAACACATTTGCTCGTACAAACGAAATGTACTCATATCGAAGCGATTCCAAACTCCGATCCACACAGAATAAATGTCAGTTGGTGTCTTTAGATACAACAAATAAATAAAAACTGGATAATATCACTCAGAACATCGTAGAAAAGACAAGGAGCGCACATGACATTTCTAGTGAAAAAAAAACTCGCAGGAGGGGGGGGGGAGACGCACACCACAGAAAGAACACAAAAAAAAGGAACACTACTGAACTGTCTCCGCTGATGGTACCCGTCCACTGGATTATGAAGAGATAGTGATGTAAATGAAAATCATTAAGGAACAACTTCTGGATACGAGAAATGGCCGAGGCTTTTTCTCCGAAATGGGAAACTCCAGCCTGAGCGGGATTGGGTTTCTTTCGTTTCTTTCATTTTGTGTTTCAGGAGAGGGGAATATCAGATCGGGTAATAATCGGGTAATAATTTTGAGATATGCCGGTGAAGGATTTTGGCACTGTTTCCTGATCTGATAAGTGTTTGGCACTGAGGGAAGCTCTATTGACACTGACTTAGGAGAGGCGACAGAGCAAGACCTCCAGGTCAAGCCAAGTAGAGGAAGACGATACTTTGTCACTCTGGAATGAACACTTTTTCGTGTATTTTTTCGTTGCCAAAAATCATAAAACCGCGCCTCTCTCTTGACTGCGGCACGTTTTGCGTCGGGATTCCAAGACCATTTTCTTTTCTTAATATACGAACGTTCTGAAACACAAGGGTTTGAGACTTGCTTTTCGAATCCATCGTCCAAGATGAAGGGTCGGCCGACAGCGTCGAATTCATCCTTGGCTCACAGACTGACCACGCCGATGATTTGAGGTTGTGATGCGCGGACGTCTCCGTCGCGCGGCCGAGGGCGCTGAGGAGGGTCCGCAGCGCGTGTCCGGCCTCTGCGCCCGCTGGCCTGCGCAAGGGAGGGCCTTTCGCTCGAGCCTCGGCCTCCTGGACCTCCGCCTCCACTCTGTCGCTCCGCCGTTGGTCTCCTTTTCCTTGAGCCGTGTTCAGGGGTGACTTGATGAACCTCGAGGTGTTCCTACTTCTCTAGCTGTGACTAGATCGGCTGTTATGATCCCGAGTTACCGTCTCACTCAGGCTCATTCCCGCTATGTAGTGAGTAGGGGAGTGGGCCTGGGCGAACCGCCGGCCAAGGCTCATAACGGCCATCTTCTCACTGGACTTGAAAGGCTGGCATCTTGAGTACGACCTGAAGACGAGGATGAGCTTGAGCATTCTGTTTTGGTGAGCAACTTGAGTCCATGGTTGCCATCACGATTGCCGGGCCGCCTCCTGCGAGTGTACTCCTTGGCTCGGTGTTGAGCGAGGCTCAGGACTGAGGCCTGAGCGATCCCCGCGGACGTAGGGGCCGGATGCCACTGTCTGACAGAGACGCCGCCGCCGCCCACCGGACAGGTGGCTTCCACGCCCGAGAAGCCGTCACACACTCACATCGAGAACGATTACTAGAACATGCAACGCTACCGCTCATCGCTGCTGTTGCTCGTGGTTATCACAAATATTTTTTTTCTTTTTCGTTTTACTTTCTTTTGGGGGTCGGATGTCCTCGATGGGCGTCACTCGGCTATCTGGAGGGGCTGATCCCCTTCTTCGCCAACAAGTGTCTGAGCTTCTGCAGGTTGGTCCTTGTGATGGAATCGTCAGGCTTGAGGCGCAGAGCCTCCAGGTAGCTAGACTCGGCCTCGAGGAGCTTGCCGTTGACGTGCAGCATGGCGCCCAGGTTCATGTGAGAAGTCGCCTCCTAGGAGAAAACGGAAGTCCTGATATTACCAGTTTTCGGGAAGGCTCTCTGCGGCAGGGAGCTCTCCCTGAGCGTCCGCCCAAACAGAAACACTATCCCCATATTCCATTCCCTAAGATATAATCCTTTGTCAAACTAAACCAAGCTGAGAACCTCATTAGCTACGTTATAACAACACGCATCGAGAAGCAAAAGGAAACCTGTGAGCCTACCTGAGGTCTAAGGAGAACCGCCTGTCTGTAATAATCCTCTGCCTGCTTGTTGCGACCCGCCTGACGCAGCGTGTTGGCGGCGTTGAAGATGATCTCGTACTCCGACGGCGCCAGCTGAGCCGCCTTCACGTAGTGGTCGGCCGCCGCCTCGTGCCTCTCCACTTCCGACAGGAACTGAC